CTGCCTCTTATCCCTACAACCAGTCGTCGGATTTCCTTCTATGGTAGCTGTCGCCATTCCCGGTGCAATGCTGCTTCCAACTGGCATAAGTTTTGAAGAAGAGAAGAGGAGGTTCGACTGCCTGTAGACATGTCCCAAACATTTTGTATTGATTCAACTGATTTTCATAATTTGTTCTTATATTGTGATGTTACACCACTGTCCTAGGTTAGGGGAGGGTTGAGCGCTCACAAACATGTTTAAAACCGCCACATTCTTTATGTGCCTGTCCAAAGTCAGGAGCCTGGTTGTCGTTGGTTCATGTCTGTCATATTTGTTTTTCGTAAATTGATTTGTTATAAATAAGGCTGTTAGTTTTCTCAATTGAATTGTTTTATATTTTTCATGTCGGGGCCTTTTTATAGCCGACTATACGTTAGGGGAGGGTTGAGCGCTCACAAACATGTTTAACCCCGCCAAATTCTGTATGTGCCTGTCCAAAGTCAGGAGCCTGTAGTTAAGTGGTTGTCGTTGGTTCATGTCTGTCATATTTGTTTTCGTAAATTTTTTTGTTATAAATAAGGCTGTTAGTTTTCTCAAGTGAATTGTTTTATATTTTTCATGTCGGGGCCTTTTTATAGCCGACTATACGTTAGGGGAGGGTTGAGCGCTCACAAACATGTTTAACCCCGCCAAATTCTGTACGTGCCTGTCCAAAGTCAGGAGCCTGTAGTTCAGTGGTTGTCGTTGGTTCATGTCTGTCATATTTGTTTTCCGTAAATTGTTTTGTTATAAATTAGGCCGTTAGTTTTCTCAATTGAATTATTTCCTATTTTTCATGTCGGGGCCTTTTATAGTCGACTATACGGTATGGGTTTTTCTCATTGTTGAATGCCGTACGGTTGCCTATGATTGCTTACATCCACTTCTTTTGAACTTTGGTGGATAGTTGTATCAATGGCAATCGTACCACATCTCCTTTTTTTATATAAAGCGCGAGCCAGATGAACCAAAACTGGACACTCTTGCATATGGAGTATATATCTTCCAGTTGATACGATATTCCATGAGGTTTCATATTGTTGTTTCCATTTTGTTTACCTTTGTATTTTCTATTTTTCTAAATTTGTACTTTATCAGAAAAGTGTATATATATGCCATTATGTTCGACTATATTATACTATCAACCACAAAATCGTTTTGTGTTGGCGTCTTTGTTAGAATTCTTTGTATGTTTGTTTGGAATGTTTAAGTCAGTTGTGTTGTATATCTATAATATGCTTACACAATTTTGGCTGCTGGATCTTAGTTGTTGTAAACCAATTATGTCTGTTTGGGTTGCTCACACAATTTTGTCAATATGACGGAACTATAAACAACTATCATACAAGTGAGAGGTTTAGCTAGCTTTAAAACTAGTTTTAACCAGGAACATATTATGTCTGTTTGGGTTGCTCACACAATTTTGTCAATATGACGGAACTAAAAACAACTATCATACAACTAAGAGGTTTAGCTAGCTTTAAAACTAGTTTTAACCAGGAACATATTATGTCTGTTTGGGTTGCTCACACAATTTTGTCAATATGACGGAACTATAAACAACTATCATACAAGTGAGAGGTTTAGCTAGCTTTAAAACTAGTTTTAACCAGGAACATATTATGTCTGTTTGGGTTGCTCACACAATTTTGTCAATATGACGGAACTATAAACAACTGTCATACTAGTGAGAGGTTTAGCTAGCTTTAAAACTAGTTTTAACCAGGAACATATTATGTCTGTTTGGGTTGCTCACACAATTTTGTCAATATGACGGAACTATAAACAACTATCATACAAGTGAGAGGTTTAGCTAGCTTTAAAACTAGTTTTAACCAGGAACATATTATGTCTGTTTGGGTTGCTCACACAATTTTGTCAATATGACGGAACTATAAACAACTATCATACAAGTGAGAGGTTTAGCTAACTTTAAAACTAGTTTTAACCAGGAACATATATATTAGATATACTGTTCTTAGCTTTAACCCCCAATTTTCGGCGGTAAATGCCCGTACCCAGTCTGCGGTAAACGCCCGTACCCAGTCGGCGGTAAATGCCCGTACACAGTCGGCAGTAAATGCCCATACCCAGTCTGCGGTAAATGCCCGTACCCAGTCTGCGGTAAATGCCCGTACCCAGTCGGCGGTAAATGCCCGTACCCAGTCGGCGGTAAATGCCCGTACTCAGTCGGCGGTAAATGCCCGTACCCAGTCGGAAATATGACAGTTGTTTTCCGTTTGTTCCGTTTGTTGATATAGTCTAGCATTTAATTGGTTTTGTCATGTTTTATAGACAACAATGGTGTTGTTCAGCAGACAACAATGTTGTTATTTATGCAAAAACATTACATGGAATGTCTATCTAAAGAAGCAGAACTGGGTACTTTACATACATCCTTGCATCATTGCCTCAAATCCGTCTTTCTCTCTAATGGTATCAACTCAAAAGAGGACGACAAAAATCTCTCGTCTAGTATTGACTACATAAGCTTCACAAAAATATGTATAAAGAACAACAAATAAAAATTTTACCTTAATATGAATATAAGGAGATGAGGTATGATGAGACAATTATCCACCAAAGTTCAAATAAAGTGGATGTGAGCAATTATAAGCAACCGTACGCCCTTCAACAATGAGAAAAACCCATACTGTATAGTCGGCTATATAAGGCCCCGACATGAAAAACAGGAAACAATTCAATTGAGAAAACTAACGGCCTAATTTATAACAAAACAATTAACGAAAAACAAATATGACAGACATGAACCTTAAGTTCTTTCTGAAGTAAAAAATGGCCTGTAGAAATATTGTGAAGAAGTATATTCAACCAGCGGTGTCATCAGGTGTCAATCATATCATTTGTTTTATTTTTCTACGCTTTACTTTAACATTCCCGATACTCAATTGAAAGTTCGACTGCATCGTCTCATTAAACAAAGCTTTTCTGCAACAACGGGAATCATAGACACATCAGTGGTATATCAGTGGGTACTAGTTGTGCATCCGTACTGGCCGACTTGTTTTCGTACTCAAATGATGTAGAAATCATACAGTACCGTCTAAAAAACAGACAAAAGAAAAAGCATTTTGCAAGGTTGTTTAATTTTACTTTCAGATATATTGATGATGTAGAATCTGTGACAAACGTGATGATAACAACTTTCCAACCTCCCTTTTCTCAGCAGTAACATACCCTCTGCCCCATCGTATGACCTTCGCATATATCAATTTTATACGTTACTTTCGTGCATGTTCACAATGCACAAGTTCCATTAACATCTATGTGCCCCTTGCAGAAAAACTGTTCATACAGAGTTATGAGAAAATACGACTGAAATCAACAATGCATAAGTTTTACTGTCACAATCACGTCTGTATCTCAAGTCACCAATGACATGATTTTGATTTTAGATACCAAAATCTGTAATTTATTCAATTGTGTCCTATTTCAGATAGTGACAATCACTGCTGTGCATGACTGGTGATGCATACATAGCAGGAGACGTTTACTCTGTCGACGCACTTGGTCACGCTTTTTGAGTTCATGCTATTCCTTCAGTTTGTGTTTGTTAGTTGATTTGTATCTTCTTAATCTATTTATGATATTTGAGCAGCAGTAAACTAATGTTGCCTTAATTTACTGCTGGAAGAAAGGGGTCAATTCGATTCGCTATTTAACCCATGTGTTTGATATATAGTATTGCATAGTAAGGACTTTTAGTGAACGTGTTTTCTAACTGATTTGAGCATTTTAAGAATTCATACCAGATTTAAACCGACCCTAGAGGAATTAGCTTCACCAGTATTGATTTCTGATAAAATGGATGTTAAACCAATTTGAAAAGAGGGCATAATACATACCTAACATTTTTAACTTCACGTAAAGCTATATAGGTGAATTAATTCTATAATAATAATAAGTAACTATGATGAACATAATTATCAAAACTAAAATTAAGGATACCATAGAAACAGTTTAGTCTTTCAGATAACTTCACTTACATGTATAAAGTTACAAAAGCAGTCGGTTGAGAATAAAACTTTACAAAAAAATTAGATGATTTCAGCTTTCCTTCTGTGAACTTTTTTGTTCTGGTGGGTTGTTCGTGTTCGTTGATGAGTCTTCTGTGTAGTGTTTTATTAATGTGCGTGTGAATGCGCATGACAGGTGATGCATGCATTGCAGGAGCTTACCTTGTCGACGCAACCGGTCTTGCTCCTTTTTAAGTTTTAAAGTAAATTGTTTTTCGTAGGCTTTGCCAGCGAAATATATGATTTAATTTTGTCTGAAAAAAAAAAACCAACAACATAAAGTGGTTTGATTGATTGATTGATTGATTGATGGTTGCTTAACGTCCAGTGCAAATTGTGTTTGAAAAGAGTTCATGGTTTATGAAATTGGTAATTGTGGAATACAGTGTTCCCCTCTCAATCTATTATCGCATAGTCACACATGCATCTATCTTAATACTTAATATCTCGACTGTTTGTATTGTTACCTGGTAATAAGTACAACTGATTTATAATTCTATAAGAAAAGAGAGCCCTTAGTATATGATAGTACGGTGTTCTATGATTACCAGTAATAAAGAAAACGATAAGGAAAAGAAAGCCCTTAGTATATGATAGTACGGCGTTCTATGATTACCAGTAATAAAGAAAACGATAAGGAAAAGAGAGCCCTTAGTATATGATAGTACGGCGTTCTATGATTACCAGTAATAAAGAAAACGATAAGGAAAAGAGAGCCCTTAGTATATGATAGTACGGCGTTCTATGATTACCAGTAATAAAGAAAACGATAAGGAAAAGAGAGCCCTTAGTATATGATAGTACGGTGTTCTATGATTACCAGTAATAAAGAAAACGATAAGGAATAAAAGTAAGGAACTCATTTCAAGGTTTATTTTACCTATTAGAGACAAACTACGGAGATGGAGAACAAACAACAAAACATGAATATTTTTTTTTTTTTTTACAAAATTATAACAAACAGTAAAAAATAAAAAAATTAAAATATGCATTGTATATATTAAAAGCGAAATGTGTCTTACAGTAATACAGAACAGAGACATTATGATATTGTGCTATTTCATGGATTCCTTTAAAAAACTCTTATTACAGATACATCAAAGTAGCCCCGAAAAACGACGCTTGTCCATCTCTCGAAATCAATCTGATTTGAGATACCTTTACAAAAATCTGATCACCTGCATTGAGCTTAAAGACACCAGCAGTATAACTGGTGTAATCACCATAGATTTTATTTTCCGCCCAACATTGTGTGCGAACACTTTTTAAGAGTAGCTCCTGACCATCGTTTGGATAAATATAGTTGAACCTGTAAACATAATGGTAGAGAGCATGCGATCCGTTTGATTGTGGTTGTCCTCTATAAAGGTCACTGAAAAATATCTGACTGTATACAAAATAAAGACCAGATGTGTGGATGATAATTCGGCTGTCGTCGACATGTATGTCATTTGTGTGAGATGTTGGTCCCTTCGAAACCCAATTACTAACTGTAAATGGAGGTTCACCTGTCAACAAATTATACATTAAATTCATTAATGGTCATAGTCCATGTAATGTCAAATAAGTTACATACTCCATCTGGGGAGAAGGGACATTTAAAAAATCAATAACAAGTGATACAGTCATGTTCTAAAAATGGAATCCTTAAAACGTGTAATTTAAAATTCTGTTTTATACATTATACCTACCAATCTATCTTTTATTTTGTTGTTTTTTTTTACTGATATAACGATCAGTACCTAACCATATCGTCAGTTTGATATTAAATAAATGCATACTTAAACGAAATATATTTTGTTGACAAAAAGGTCCCAGATTGCACAGTCAAAGTTTTCCTTAGACGGGTTTTCAATGAAGTTTTAGGTATTTGAAATGTACATCTTCTAGTGTATTATGATGCATATCACACCTATGGTAATTCCCCTGATGAGTATGACAGAAACGCAATTGGAAAAAAAGAAGTTCGAAATGTTTTGGTTTTTTTTATTGATAAAGTTATCTTATGATTTAAAGTTCCGAAATAGAAACATAGCTTCAACATTGAAAGTTCACGATTATTCGAATACTCTATTGCCCTGTTTTAAAATGGCTTACTTGTACTTACAATTATCTGTTATTGGTTGTACGCCCGCAGTCAGATGAACAGAAGGTCTATTTAATCTGGTAATGTTACGTGTATCACTTGAACTGTTGCATTTACATTCAGATTCAGAAAGAATTCGATCTACAAAGAAAAAGTAAAACAAACCATAGAACTAAAACGAGGTGATGTTTAGACATATCTGCATTCTTTGGTTTAATATTGGAATAGAAAAAAGATAACGTTTTCAATCATTTGCTTAAATTTGATTAAATAAGATACAGGGCAAACAAATTACCTTTAGTTTTCTTCAATCGTTCTTGCCTTTCAAATATCTGCAATGAAAAAGAAATTTCTATTTTACATTATATAAACTGCCTGAATCACCGTCCATTTTATTGTTTCACGTCTGATATTTATTTTTCACTGAACTTCTTAAAATAATTAACATCTTTTTTATCAACAATCAGAACCGACCTTAAAAGTCACTGGCCAATTACCAATTATAACATGTCAACCCTCCCCCCCCCTTTCCCAAAATAAATCAATCGATTGAAACCCGTCTCCTAATGCAATAGAAATACTGGAGGTCAACGTTGTTATATAAAATAGAAATAGACTCACTTAGACATGAATATTTTGTTTATGAAATTGCAACACTGATTATAAGGACATCCTCTAAAACTGGCATTATTAAGAGGTTTGATTTTTTTATTGACAATACGTTTATTTAAGTGGACGCTATTTCCTGTAGGATATGGGAACCAATCGTTTCTGTTCCTTTATTCGAATGAGAAAATTTTATACAGGGGTTTATAAAAAATAAGATGGTACAAGCTTTTAAATTCAATTTCGGATTTCCGCTATTTAAATGGTGTCAAGTGTTTAATTAATTTAAATTTCAGTGACCATGTGAATCACATTTATAAAACGTAATCTGAAATAGATTCCACTGAAACGCTAATACTCATAAGTTACGCTCGAATTAAAAAGTTGGAATGCCAAATCAAATAAGTTATAGGTCTTTAAAACTTGTGCTACATTCCTACAGAACCTCTATATCAAGGGCACATTTCTCTCTTTTTGATGTGATATTTGATACATGCGTTTAGTATCAAAATTTCATTTGTAGATGGTTTATTAGATGTGCATGAAATGAAAAGTCTGCGTTTTTACTGTTATAGAGTTCCTGCATCACAGTTGAAACGTTGATATTTCCTAATAACGTTGTCGTTTCCTCATTTATGACCCAACCCAATACGCCTTAGAATCGGAGTTATCTGTAATGAGCACCACGAAATGTATCAATAAAGGAGCAGGAACTCCTCCCTTCTGATTTGAACTTCTATCTGATCAAAATATAAAGAATGAACTTACCAAGCTAACAAGAATTGCTGTTTGATTCGATCCTTTAGCACAACAAATTTCCATATCATTTTCCATTGTTCTTTTCAATAAGTGAAGTTTTGCGTTGTCTTTTTCCAATGGTCCTAGTATCAAATCATAGCACGGCACACACATAGTATTTTCTCTGTCTCTCCTCTCTAACTTTTCATTGTAAAGATCATGTCTTAAATGATTTAGAGAGGTAAACATTGCTACTATTAATGAAGCAAAGAGAATTATTATTCCAATTACAATTATCCAAATAAGAACGTGACATCGTTCCACAGATAATTTTGTTTTATTTTTTATTTGCATTATTGTCCTTTCAGAGCTCCCTGTTGGACACATACAGTAAACAGTATGTTTGTAGGCATCACACAAATTAGTATTCATATCTTTTATTTCGTAATAAGTTTCAGGCCTTGTGACTCAGATTGACGACAAATTGTCTCAAAAGTTGACCATCATCATCATTGTCACAGACACTGTTTGAAATTGGTCTTCATGATTGACACCTTAATAAAAAAACAAAACAAACAAATATCAAATATAGACCACGGCATTCTTAATGTACGCATATTACTACAATGTAGATATATACAAAGGCATAATAGTTTAACCAAACAATGTCATAGTAATTTCCACCCTCAACATCATCTGTACAAACAGATTTGATGTTTAAGTCACCTCTGGAGAGAAGTACTTGCAACCATTTTATACATCCTTCGACGACCATGCGCCTAGCATCCAGAGACAGGGGTTTTAACCACTACACCAGATCCAATACCCATGTATAAATATAAATGTTTAACACGCTTATTAGGTGTTATAAATATACTTGTTATATTTCATATAAATTCACGCAATATTTCGTTAGGCAAACTCGTTTCATCAGGCACGAGCATTTATCCAGATGTAATCAGAGACTGACATGAAATTTTTGTAGTTTATTGTACAGTTCGTACGTACAGATCTGTGTGCTGTGTAAATTATATGACATTCAAGATTTATTCCTTTCATTTATTATAAAATTGTTGCTTATCTATCTTATTGGGACAATGAGGTTCAAGAGTACGTATCTGGTGACAATGAGGTTCAAGAGTACGTATCTGGTACATTCGAAATACATTTATCTTTGTTTTCTACCTTTTGTGTTCCAATTTTGGTTATCTCCGTTATTTGACAGGAGATATTTTCAAAAGAATGCCTTGTTCTTAAGGGGTGCCTCGTGATTTTTCTTGGGTATACAAGTTTCAGAGGTAAGAACATAAATACAATTTTCCAACAGTTGGATGTTGTCTAAATTTGTATTGCTTCTTTGTTACTGTGCTGACGAAAAAAAAATCAGCTTTACAGCACCTACAATTGCTACATTCGCATGGTTTGTAACCTCCGATTGTCGTCTCTTGTTGTTGTTGTTGTTGTTGTTTTTTTAATTTTTTTTTATCTTTGATGTAACTGCCATTTTATGAGATTTGTGGGACTGTGGAAGGCTATCACAGGAGTTGATGAAAAAATCTGTTTTAAAGATAGGATACTTTTCCATTAGACAACATCGCTTGTGAATATTTGTCAGATCGAGATTAAAGGTAGCATCAGACTGAATTTTACATGTATGGGTCGTCTTATCTTTGTATTCTAGGAATATCTTCCTTTCTTTTCCAGGGCTTACCGAAAACTAGTTTATTTTTTTGTTCTTGTTGGGTCAAGTTTTTAAATCCGAGGATCAATTTTGCTTACGGCTGGTGTCTTGACAGTACGGAATGCTCCAGGAGTTTCGGATGGCAACTCTTCAGAAAGAGAAATTTGTGTTTGATAGTTTTCTTTGTGTAAAGATCAGTTGTCATGACTCTGTTTTTAAAACTATGGTGGTGTCGAGCAAATCAATTTTCTAGTTTGAATTTTTTTATAGATGAAATTTGAATTTATTATGATAATCTCGAAAACTATGTAGATGTTCTACCGTATCGTTCCACTTTAGGCAAATAAGGTGCCATTGTGTTCCCATGCTGATACCGCCAAGAAGTGCTGGTTGTTCAAAACAAAGTTGTTATTTTCGAGCACTTCCAATTTAGCTTACGTAACTGAATCAGACATTCGGTTGGGGATCCTTAACATTACGAGTGTTCTATACCTTTCCACAACCGGCTTTTCCTTCGTTTTTTGAAATATTATTGCATAAGGAACATGCATACATCGAAACCAAAATTGTGTTGTTAGGTAAAGATTTGATGAATCCATTTTATTCAAATGATCCGTTGTATCTTGAATGTAGGATTGCATTTTTCTAACATGGGACCTAAGGGGGTGATCAGCGAATTCAGAATTTGTTTTCCCGGTAGGATGACCATTGGCTGATACTGATAGGTCTTTCCTCTTCTGTATGGAGTTTTGGAAATCTATAAAAACGACCAGCTGTGCAAGTTTCATTTGGACGTAAGAAAAAGTAGATAATCTTTATGAAATATAACAAAAATGTGTATAACACCTAATTATCGTGGTAAAATTATATTCTTAGACATTTTTGATAGTTACCGCATCATTATAAAAAAAGAAAACTGATTCACTAGAAATAAGAAGATGTGGTATGAGTGCCAATGAGACAACACTCCATCCAAGTCACAATGTGTACAAAGTTAACAATTATAGGTCAAAGTACGGTATTCAACACGGAGCCTTGGCTCACACCGAACAGCAAGCTATAAAACCAACGGTCTAATCAATATAAAAAACGAGAAACGAGAAACACTTTTGAACCACATCAACAAACGACAACCACTGAACAACAGGTTCCTGACTTAGGACAGGTGCAAACAAATACAGCGGGTTTAAACGTTTTAACAGGCGCCAACCTTCACCCTAACCTGAAACAGTAGTGTAACATTACAACATAGAAAGACACTCTATAAAATATCAATTGAAATGGCGTAACTCGATCAAAAAGACACATTAACAAAAACAAGTAAACATACACTGAACGAATAAATTTGATCTATGACACAATATAAATACAATGCGCCTAGATAGGTTGAATTTTGATTGTTGCATTATTCAAACATAATATATATATAAATACTGATATATCTATATTCATCTCTTTTATTGAAGAAGAATATTGTTTCTCTACAAAAAATCCACATACCATATTGTTTTTCTACGAAAATTCCGAAATGCAAACAATCATGTATACAGACAGATAAACATACGCACAATTCTTGTATCTTGCTTCCATTGGTAGATGAGGAACCCATATTTTAAAATGGTAAATATGTAAAGTTTCACGCGAATCAATAAATAGTTGATACTATTGCGTTGAAAATTTCACCGATAATAATATTAGAAAGCCCTTAAATTAGAACAATGTAAATGAACTAAATTTAAAAAGAAATAATTCCAAATTTGTTATAACCCGGTAGACTTCCTGTTCTCATCAAGCCTTTAAATGCCGTTTGTACTATAACCTCGGTTTCTTATGTATCCTTAAGAATTTCTAAGTATTAACCACTATTATCGGTAATATTCAATTGGCACTATACTATTTTAAAGATGTATCATTCTATATTATTAGTTTTACCAATATGTAATTGACAAATATAGGTGTAGTTAGTTTCTTTTGCAACGTATCCATTACAACATAGGATTTTAATATCAAAATATACTCTTGTCATTAACTATGAATGTAATAATATTCACATTTTTGAAGTTTAAGTTATAGAAAAAAAAAACAGTTCCTATTAACAGATTTGCTTCTTTCAAAAACGAAAAGCTAATAGCATATATAATCAACTTAACAGCAAGTTTACCAGTCTCACAAGTTTACCAGTCTCACAAGTTTACCAGTCTCACACGCTATTCATGTCTGCTTCACATGTTATGAAAGCTCACATTGTGCACGTGCATTATAAAACAAATGTAAATACTTTGGTCAATTATCTTTTTTTCTTTTAAAATCATGTCATTTTGGTAGATCTGACCACGATGTGACAATTTTTACACAGAGGACATCATCTGGCCAGTATCAACACAATTCATGAATTTAAGAAGATCTGAAAAAATTCCGGCTCAGACGTCGCCAATTATTACGGACACGGGGTCTTCTGATATAAGAGGTGTCCCAGACATGACAAAAACTCGGATGTCACAGTCACACCATCATCCTAATGACAATTAAAATAATCTCTGCACACCACCGTGTACAATTCAGCTACAAGACATGATTCCAAACAAAACTATGTAATTTCGAAAAGTACAACTAAAACCTTCAAAACATTTAAACCTTTATTAAAAGATCCTCAATTCAACATTAATACCTTAAAATTATTCCTTTACCAGGAGTTGCAATGATCTTAATTGTAAATCAACTAGCATTGTTTACGGATTAGTGTGTAAATAAAAGCAACAGTAGTATACCGCTGTTCAAAAGTCATAAATCGATTGAGAGAAAACAAATCCGGGTTACAAACTAAAACCGAGGGAAAACATCAACTATAAGAGGAAAACAAAGGAACAACAGGAACACTGAAGTGCGACAAAAACAAACGCCAACATACATAGAAACGAAACTATTTGATAACAACTGCCATATTCCTTGGTACAGGACATTTTAAGAAAAAAAGGTAGGTTGAACCTGGTTGTAACCCTTGTGTTGAATTTTTTGTCGATGAAACGAAAGGCAGGCTAAACAAACGAATGTGCCATAGATCAATTTGAAACATTAACAACAGTGCAGATTTCATTGTTTATCGACACTGTAGTCAGTCTGATCGATGTTCCTTTCGAATTTCAACCAAAGATGAAGAACTTGATCTTCCCCCACTGTACTGGATATCAAAATTATACACAACGTTATATTGCTGAGTCTGCCGAATGCTTTCACTGAAGTATTCAAAGTTGGATGACTATAGGTTGAACTCATCTGTCGAATCGAACATGAAATAAGATACCACAGATACAATTATGTTTGTTTCATATCTTGAAATTGACAATAAGGATTTGTTGAGAGCTTAACTTTCAGACAAAAGAAATGATTTCAGCTTTAACATTTTGAACTTTCCATTTCTATGTAGCAATATTTCAGCAGCGGCTACATATGAAGTATACAGATCTTATTTGATATTAAATTCTGGAGTGTGCGTTTCCTATCAGAAATTCCACGAAAGAGGGTTGTTACTTACAAAGTAGCTATAGAATCAAGGGTTCCTGGTGGTACAGTTACAATCATTTTTTGTCTTTTCTTCCTTTCTATTTATTTGTCATGGTATTCTATTGTCCCTTCGACTTATGGTATTCTATTGTCCCTTCGACTTATGGTATTCTGTTGTTCCTTCGACTTATGGTATTCTATTGTCCCTTCGACTTATGGTATTCTATTATCCCTTCGACTTATGGTATTCTATTGTCCCTTCGACTTATGGTATTCTGTTGTCCCTTCGACTTATGGTATTCTATTGTCCCTTCGACTTATGGTATTCTATTGTCCCTTCGACTTATGGTATTCTATTGTCCCTTCGACTTATGGTATTCTATTGTCCCTTCGACTTATGGTATTCTATTGTCCCTTCGACTTATGGTATTCTATTGTCCCTTCGACTTATGGTATTATGTTGTCCCTTCGACTTATGGTATTCTATTGTCCCTTCGACTTATGGTATTCTATTGTCCCTTCGACTTATGGTATTCTATTGTCCCTTCGACTTATGGTATTATATTGTCCCTTCGACTTATGGTATTCTATTATCCCTTCGACTTATGGTATTCTATTGTCCCTTCGACTTATGGTATTCTGTTGTCCCTTCGACTTATGGTATTCTATTGTCCCTTCGACTTATGGTATTCTATTGTCCCTTCGACTTATGGTATTCTATTGTCCCTTCGACTTATGGTATTACATTGTTCCTTCGACTTACGGTATTGTAGTGTTCCTTTGGTTCATGCATATATTTGTCTCTTTTTGCAATAAAACATTTCAATGAGAGGTTTGATGTTCTGTTTTACTGTCGGAATAATTAATTGTGACTAATGTTATGTAGAGGTTTTCTGTATGTAACTGGATAGAAAAACAAAAGATTAATCGAAAGATTTCCCAGAGCTTGTGTTTCCCATCATATACCCATCATATATAATTTCCATGAAAATGTAAATAACAATATCATGGCAAAAAAATGAGAAAAAAAAACCGAAAAGACAAACAATTACTGCCACTTTACCAAGAGGCCCCTTTGGTTCTATAGTTTCCTTGTGATTTATTGATTAATTTGATCGTGTTTAAGGCCACTTTCAGCACTATTGCTCCTATTATGGCTGCCAGTTTTTATTGGTGGAGAAAGCCAGATTGCTGGAGAGAACCATCGCCCTACCGCACCTGTCACGTGAGCCCTGTGTTGACAGGCTAGTGATACAGTAGGCCACAGCTTCCTTGTGAACAGCAACCATCTATCGTGTAACATTTGTATTAGGTTTTGGATTTTTAAGTATTTTAGCCTCGAGCATCACTGAAGAGACATTGATTGTCGAAACGCGCATATGGTGCCCTTAATGGTATCAATATGTTTCATAACAAGTGAGAGTTGAATATCTTTGCGATACTTTATCATAACTATATATCTAAGTTGTTAAACCGATTTCTCTGGTAAACATTCTTTTTGTTTTAAATAGAATAGTCAGCAAATCGTTGATCTAGTCTTTTGCACATACCAGTATGACGTTATGTGTACTGTTCCTCCGTCAATCTTTACCATCAGACATTTCGAAACTTTTTTACACTTCAAAATGAAATAGAATTAGACAAAAATAAGATTTTCAGGTGAAAAGTGTGAGTGCGTTGTATTTGATGCAAGAAATCATATATCTATGTTGCCATTGAGGAAATGTACAAGTCATCAATGACCTAACGAATAGCAAATGGAAATGTCGCAATATCGTTTCATGATGCAGGACAAGCAAATCAAATTATCGCATGTTTCGTATCTCACTCCGTGCAATGTGATACGATAAATATCTCTTCATGTGAGAAATAGAAGAGAGGCAAAAGATACCAAAGGGACATTTAAACTCATAAGTCGACAACAAACTGACAATGCCATGTCTAAAAACGATAAAGACCAATATATGTACAGCAGTATACAAAACACAACATAGTAAACTAAAGACTGAGCAACACGAATCCCACCAAAAACAATGGATGATCTCAGGTGCTCCGGAAGGGTAAGCATACCCTGTTCCACATGTGGCATCCGTCGTGAGATATTTATTCCATATGCAGGTGCTGCTGGAATGTTGCTACATAGAAATAGAAAGTTCCCAATTTGGAAGTTGAATTGAAATCATCTCTTTTGTGGTAAAGTTTTGTTCTCAACCTACCCTCATTGTCAATCTCAAAATAACCTGCCACACCCATCATGCCCATAGGAGACAGGTAAATTAAATTTAAATTTCAAGTAAATTTGTGTTATATATGTTTTCGTGGGTGATTTTTGCTTTGCTGTTATAACGTTTTATTTTTGTGTAGTGTTTCATAGGTTTTGATTTTTGTTTGTTTATTTTATTTTAGGGGATGTCATGTATATTTGTGATCTGTCAAATGTATACATCAAAACAGTTTTAGTTATAAATACAGACAGGTAAATAGTTAAATGTTTTATCGCTTGTTCATTTATAAGTTTTATGAAAACATATACTAAAATTATTTTAAAGACTGATAATAAATTATCTTTGAAGCAAAGGTTATTCCACATTCAACTTCCTGGTGCAGTGGTTATTCTTATACACAGCTATCACTATTAAAACTTGATATGATCCGAAATTTAAACATCATTAATGTTTATAAACTGGCTTGTGTTCAATAAATAATAATTGTTCTTTAGCATTAAACATATAACAGATAACAGAATTGTATATTGTCGCTTATCATTTCTATTAAGGTGTTGATCTAAAACTAAACATGAGTTGGAAAAAAGTCAATTAAAGATTATTTTGTTTTCGTTTATGGTTCACCATCCTCGTATGTTAAAACACACAAATTCTTAATTTGTCATAATTACAATAATAAACCAGTTACAAATATTTTCTGATAATTACATTTCACAAACCAGTAATTTTATAGTTTAAGCATTTACATGTAATATTAGGAATTGAAGGCATTTTGGTGGTTTTATAGGCTCGAAAAAGCGATGCCGGATTCCGCCATTAATAAAATCTGACCGCAACAAAAAACAATCAATAGGTAACGAAATGTGTTTTAGTGAAAAATGAATTATATATGCACTAATTCATTTATTGTCTTGAGTAAAATTAACTAGTTTAATGTGTTCTTGATAAGAATCTTCCATACAGTGGTCCAAAATGGCTGCCATCATCTCTTCTTGTCATTTTTACATCAAGACAAAAAAAGATTTAAATTATAAAAACCCTCTTTTGTAAGCTAACTGAAACATCATTTCACCTCATCTACACTGTTACACATTCAATGTTGCATGTGTTATGTCAAGTGTAAGTATCTGACTTCTACACTGTTACACATTCAATGTTGCATGTGTTATGTCAAGTGTAAGGATCTGCCTTCTACACTGTTACACATTCAATGTTGTATGTGTTATGTCAAGTGTAAGGATCTGACTTCTACACTGTTACACATTCAATGTTGCATGTGTTATGTCAAGTGTAAGGATCTGACTTCTACACTGTTACACATTCAATGTTGCATGTGTTATGTCAAGTGTAAGGATCTGACTTCTACCCTGTTACACATTCAATGTTGCATGTGTTATGTCAAGTGTAAGGATCTGACTTCTACACTGTTACACATTCAATGTTGCATGTGTTATGTCAAGTGTAAGGATCTGACTTCTACACTGTTACACATTCAATGTTGCATGTGTTATGTCAAGTGTAAGGATCTGACTTCTACCCTGTTACACATTCAATGTTGCATGTGTTATGTCAAGTGTAAGGATCTGACTTCTACACTGTTACACAATCAATGTTGCATGTGTTATGTCAAGTGTAAGGATCTGACTTCTACCCCAAATAATTATAAGGTGCGCTTGACGCTCTGTGTCTAGTTCATTAAATACTCGTAACACAAAATATTAGCACCCAATTTGTATTCTTCTACGTCCTCATAAAAGAAATCATAATATTTTACATAAATTTAAATGTTTATTAATTTGTAAATTACGTATGTACCTAAGAACATATTACTAAAACAGAGGCGGAATACACTAAATGGATATTCAAACTCATAAATCCCAAACGAACTGAACTGACAGAGCCATGACAAAAAACGAAAAACGACCACAAGACAAACAACAATCATCAACACACAACAAAGACTGAGCATCATGAAGCCTACCAATAACCGGGGGTGCTCCGGAAGGGTAGGCAGATGCTGTTCCACATGTGACAACCGTCGTGTTACTCATGTCAAAACCATCATTATCAAACTTCACCTGTATTTCATAATCCAACTCTTGAACAGTAAATATCACAACCATCAAAATCGAACTTGACCCGTATTTTATAATCCAACTCTTGACCAGTAAATATCACAACCATCAAAATCAAGCTTCACCTGTATTTTATAATCCAACTCTTGAACAGTAAATATCACAACCATCAAAATCAAACTTGACTCGTATGTTGTGGTCCATGGACTCTTCATTGAGGTTAACCTTGTACGCGCAGTACAAAATAGGGTCAATGTTTCAAGTAATCAATCTTTTTTGTAAGTCGGTTTGCTGCGACGTTCATGTATATATGATGAGGATTTTAAGAACTAATTATACAACGATGTGATGTACCATTAAATCAATATCAATTTATTTTGAAGGATTTTAATTATCTTTGTGATAATAGTCGCAATATATCAACCAAGCCAATAACAAGATATTAACCAAGCCAATAACGATATATTAACCAAGCCAATAACAAGATATTAACCAAGCCAATAACGGTATATTAATCAAGCCAATAACAAGATATTAACCAAGCCAATAACGATATATTAACCAAGCCAATAACAAGATATTAACCAAGCCAATAACGATATATTAACCAAGCCAATAACAAGATATTAACCAAACCAATAACGATATATTAACCAAGCCAATAACAAGATATTAACCAAGCCAATAACAAGATATTAACCATGCCAAAAACGATATATTAATCAAGCAAATAACGATATATTAACCAACCCAATAACAATCTGTGTAAAACTTAGATCCGATGGTTCTGAAAAACAGAAGTACAAATAGCATTCAAATAGTGATGAAATTAACTTCTCAAGTATAAACCATCTTTTATAACATTTTGCCTTCGGATCAATGGCTCGGATGATGTTGCCTATCTACTAGACAGCTCAAAAAAAATAATTCGCAATTCAAGTTAGATAAAACAGACATCCGCAGAAAACACAACCACATCGCAGATATATAAACGAAAAAAAAATAGCAAATATAAAAAAAAAAAAAAAAAAATTACAACTATAAATATTACAACAGATCCTTGATGGACGCATTTTTGTTAGTTTAAAATAAATGCGTCCTTTCAGGCGTACACAGAATACTGAAATCTTGCATTACCAGTTGCAAATAACAATAAATAAAAAATCAGCAAAAGAAGAAATAAACAATCCGAATTCATGAAAAAGATTAATTTAACTTGCTCAAGCATCAAGTTAACAGGAAGACAGTAACAATTTGCTAAGAAGACATGCAGGTTTTACACAGTATCAAGATTAAATGATTGGTAGGGGTTTCAATAATATACACAAATTCTTTCATTTTTATTCACTTCTATGAAATATAATAATGACATAAATGTTTGTCAATTATTAGTTTCATGATAAAAATATATTAACATGTACACTGTATGACAAAGCTTATATTATAGATTATAATTATAAAAATATATATTATCAAAAAATAACAAGAAAGATTATAACAAATAATTAAAAATTAACAAATACATATATTTTGGCACAATAGAGAAAAATTAACAGCACGCTTTTAAAATGTATATTTCGATATTTAATTCCTGTCAGTACCTGTATTTACCAGTGATGTGTGCTCGAGCAATACTTTTTTTATGGATATTACAACAATGTAACTGTTGCATATCTATAGAGCTAACAGATAAGTTCCTTGCTAGAAAAATTACATGCAGGGGCGATAACTCACAGAACTATCTTAACGCCTCTTTTATGTTAAAATTGACGTTTCCCGGACTGGAACTTAATTTTTTGGTGTCTTTACTTTTTTGTCCTCTAAGACATTGCAGGTTAAAGTATTTTTTAAACTTGAAAATCCGTTAATATAAACTATGAGTCGTTTTCTAGCTCTAGTGAATTATATTTTTAACATAATATATGTAAAAGGAACATATTTTCAAGGATGGAATTACAGCTTCGCAATGCCAAAAAAGGATGCTTTAGGATCTCTTGAAATTAAATCAAGTTTTGATGCCTTTACATACAGGTTATCACCTGCACTGAGCTTAAACACACCACTGGTATAACTAGTGTAATCACCATACACTCTGTTTTCTGCCCAGCACTGTGTCCGGACACTCTTCAGCAACAACTCGTTTCCATCGTTTGGATAAAAGACGTTCCATCGATAGACATAATGGTACAAGGCTTGTGAAGTGTTTGATGTTGTTTGCCCTTTGTAAAGGTTACTGAAGAATATCTGGCTATATACAAAATATAAACCGGAAGTGTTTACTATTATACGACTGTTTTCCACACGAACACCACTTGAATATGCAGTTGGTCCAGAGTCATCCCAGTTTTGTATAATGTATGGAGGTGCTCCTGTAAGAAACCATTTACAAGTTATTTAGATAAAAAAAAGTTTTGAATTTGAAAAAGGTTCAAGAGATTTTAGTCGCCTTTATATAAATAATATCAGAGTAAAATTATCTATGAATTGTTTTTATTATTAATACCAACCATTTGTTATCGATTGTACTCCTGCTAAAAGATGAGCTGCTATTCTACCATGATCTTGTCCATGGTTACCACCCTCGTCAGTTGTACAGTTATTTTTACTATTGGTTTCTGAGTCGATAATATCTAAAAATAAATTATCAAAACATGCTCTTTAATGAATTTACGATTCAAAAACGTATTAAAGTGACACATTAAAATGCACTTTAACGAAAAGAGAGGAGAAATATCGGATTGCACGAGATACGGTGGTGGAATGTGTTTCTCTTCAACAGTCTGGGAAAAATAAAATGTCCATTCTATATGACGTCAGCAGGCATGGTTGTTGTAACGTCAAAAATAGCGGAGTCTGTGGAAATCGTTATTGAAATAGACTAGAATGAGTGAAGATATGAGAACACACGTTAATTATTAAAAAATAATCAACCATTCGGGAAAAAACATAAATTGAATGAAAAACAAAAGAAACGAATTTATGGCCAACATATATCTATTAAATGTATACTGATCAATTAATTTATGGCCAACATATATTTATTAAAAGTATACTGATCAATAATTGATAGTTACCTTGTGCATGGTGTAATTTTTCTCTTCTTTTCAATAACTACAATAGACAAAGGGTTAAATATAAATGAAATTTAATATATAATACTATACATATAAGGTATACTTTTTAGCTCACCTGGCCCGAAGGGCCAAGTGAGCTTTTCTCATCACTTGGCGTCCGTCGTCCGTCGTCCGTCGTCGTCCGGCGTCGTCCGTCGTCGGCGTTAACTTTTTACATTTTGAACTTCTTCTAGAGAACCACTGAATGGAATGAAACCAAACATGGCATGAATGTTCCTTATGAGGTGCTGACCAAGTGTTGTTACTTTGTAGCCGATCCATCATCCAAGATGGCCGCCAGCGGGGGACTTAGTTTAACATAGGACCCTATGGGAAATGCATACAAATGACTTCTTTTAGAGAACCACTGAATGGAATAAAACCAAACATGGCATGAATGTTCCTTATGAGGTGCTCACCAAGTGTTGTTACTTTGTAGCCGATCCATCATCCAAGATGGCCGCCAGCGGGGGACTTAGTTTAACATAGGACCCTATGGGAAATGCATACAAATGACTTCTTTTAGAGAACCACTGAATGGAATAAAACCAAACATGGCATGAATGTTCCTTATGAGGTGCTGACCATGTGTTGTTACTTTGTAGCCGATCCATCATCCAAGATGGCCGCCATCGGGGAACTTAGTTTAACATAGGACCCTATGGGAAATACATACAAATGTCTTCTTTTAGAGAACCACTGAATGGAATGAAACCAAACATGGCATGAATGTTCCTTATGAGGTGCTGACCAAGTGTTGTTACTTTGTAGCCGATCCATCATCCAAGATGGCCGCCAGCGGAGGACTTAGTTTAACATAGGACCGTATGGGAAATACATAAAAATGTCTTCTTTTAGAGAACCACTGAATGGAATGGAACCAAACATGGCATGAATGTTCCGTATGAGATGCTGACCAAGTGTTGTTACTTTGCAGTCGGTCCATCATCCAAGATGGCCGCCAGCGGGGGACTTAGTTTAACATAGGACCCTATGGGAAATACATACAAATGTCTTCTTTTAGAGAACCACTGAATGGAATGAAACCAAACATGGCATGAATGTTCCTTATGAGGTGCTGACCAAGTGTTGTTACTTTGTAGCCGATCCATCATCCAAGATGGCCGCCAGCGGGGGACTTAGTTTAACATAGGACCCTATGGGAAATACATAAAAATGTCTTCTTTTAGAGAACCACTGAATGGAATGGAACCAAACATGGCATGAATGTTCCGTATGAGATGCTGACCAAGTGTTGTTACTTTACAGTCGGTCCATCATCCAAGATGGCCGCCAGCGGGGGACTTAGTTTTACATAGGACCCTTTGGGAAATACATAAAAATGTCTTCTTTTAGAGAACCAATAAATGGAATGGAACCAAACATGGCATGAATGTTCCTTATGAGATGTTGACCAAGTGTTGTTACTTTGCAGCCGATCCATCATCCAAGATGGCCGACAGCGGGGGACTTAGTTTAACATAGGACCCTATGGGAAATACATACAATTGTCTTCTTTTAGAGAACCACTGAATGGAATTGAACCAAACATGGCATGAATGTTCCTTATGAGTTGCTGACCAAGTGTTGTTACTTTGCAGTCGATCCATCATCCAAGATGGCCGCTAGGGGGGGGGGCTTAGTTTAACATAGGACCCTATGGGAAATACATACAAATGTCTTCTTTTAGAGTACCACTGAATGGAATGAAACCAAACATGGCATGAATGTTCCTTATGAAGTGCTGACCAAGAGTTGCTACTTTGTTGCCGATTTACTGTTCAAGATGGCCACCAGGATATTTTATTAAATAACGGGACCAATATTAATCAAAATTTGGCCTCAATCATTATTTGGGTATCTGTTATGATTTTTATCTATCTTTACATGATTTCTAAAACCAAAGTAGAGTCAGGTGAGCGACACAGGCTCTTGAGAGCCTCTAGTTAAATGTATATACCGTGATCAAGGATTTATACAGTAAGATCTTACTATATAAATCCTTGGCCGTTATCCCGTACTGCATGTTACTGTAAAGTAAGGCAACAGCAGTTTACTGAGATGTTTAACTCTCATAAATCGATTACGAAGAAAAATCAAGGAAACAAACAAAAACTGAGGGAAATCGAATGAACTCCAAAAGGAACGAGGAACATTTAATGGCAAATGAGATATTTAAAGCCTTAACAATATTCTAAGATATATGTATTTGTATAGTACGACACCTGCCTGGCTTAAATAATAAAACTTACTACAAGTGACAATTACTGAATCATCAAAATAGTACATGGAAGGAACAACCAAATCAGTAGATGGCCGAAATTATACAGGAAACTGGCATCATACTTGAAGTAAAATCAAACATGGAATGCAACCGATCTATAATGTATCAGTATCGAACCCTTCTTTAATGGGTGAATTATACCAAGCGATTTTTATACATTTAATGAAGGGCTGCGTTATGAAGGTACATGTTGGAAGACTTAACCAAATAAAGTAAATTAGCAGGTTGTCAATACTATAAATCTGTACGTTTGGTTCTTATTATAAATTAAGAGATGCATTCATTAGAATTTTAGTAACGTTATGGTTGATATACTAGTATAAACATTTACACAAGCAAATTTTGATCGTTGTGTTCGGGTTACAGTTCACGTGAAATTCACGAGAAAAATTTTACGTGAGATTCGTGTGAACTTCACGTTTGTATTAATCATGATTTTGATTAAATTTGAAAATTCAGATGTTATTTGAATAACTTTATTTTGAAAATTCACATGTATTTCACGTGAAAAAAATCCATGTGATTTTCAAGTGAAATTCACGTGAGTATCTTATGAGATTCAAGTGAGTTTCACCTATAAGCTAGTTTGAGGTGAATCTCAATGTGAGTAAAAGTTTTTGACAATTTTAACTTTTTATCAACAACTAGCATAAAAATCATTACAATGTATATTTACCAAATCCATTAGAATTGACGTTTGATTGGATCCTTTAGCACAGCATACTTGAATTCCATCTTCCTCTTTTCTATTCAGCAGCTTTATATTTTCATTATCATGTTCTAATGGACCTAGAATCAAATCATTGCAAGGTAAACATAGTGTGTTTGATTTGCCTTTTCTTTCTGCTTTCTCAACTTCCAATTTACCCTGTAATTTGTTAAGCATCACAAATTGGACAATTATCAGAGAAAATGCAATAACAAAGAAGGTAATATTTACGCATATTATCACAATAATATAACGTTTTCCCGGAACTATGCTTTCGGTTGATCCTGACAGTAAACTGCTACTGCTTGTTGTACTGCCGTTTCTATGCATGTCACCGTTTGCACTTCTCGTACATTGTCTAATTTCATGATATTTGTTACACTCTGTATTTGCCTCATTTGAGTTAGGTTGCTGTGTTATTGATACGGCATAAGCACTACATGCATCTGGCTGTGGTCGATGGAAGACTGGGTTTTCGTTGGCCATTTTATTACAAACGTCAACAGATGTATTAAGAATCGCATTGGAGTATGATGTTGGTCTCTTTCCAATTTCATCCTGTTGAATAAAAAAAAAGTAAGGTTAATATATTGATAAGAAGTAAAACAAAAATCGTTAATAATCGAATGACTCGTTTATTGATTAAATCCTTATTTTAGAAATGTACCATTTAATCTGAAACGACAGTCCGGAGAGTAATTCTGCGGTCTCCTGTTCGTGTTGGTAATAAGTAATCAAAAGTATAAAACACTTAATACTATTATACTGTCTTTTGCATGATTAGGTTACTATATACTGTTTACTTCCTGATTCAGTAGACCTTTAATATACTTGGGTATTTCCCAATAACTTGAATATAAGGTAGACATTTAATTATGTACCATAATAAATCCAATGTTATCAATCATTATTTATAAAGGTACACGTGTTTGCATGCATATCTTTAACAGAATAATAAATTACCACTTTTGAATTTCCAAAGTATTATAGCTTGTTTAAAGTACTTTGTATATGTACTTTTAATGCAACCATCACTTTTTATTAGCAAAAGGAAGCTAATCGCAAAAGAAGGTTACTTTTGTATATAGAATTAAAACCTATTCCGTTATTATAATTTTTGTTAACGTTTTGCTTTGCTTCTAATCAGATCAATTATAGTGCATAATTAAACTACTAAATGCATTATGATTATTTGAATATTGACCTATGGAATGATTTCATGAATATATGACAAATCATGCTTCCGATGTTGGTGCATAAGAATAATATATTATTATGTATGTATAAACTATCTATAATTAAACCGAGGAAGTTTAAGTTCGATTCCACGAAATCGGAATGTTTTATATGTATTACCTGCGTGGCAGCGCTACGCTCTTCCTGATTGGTAACATAATTCGTAATTGTTTTTTTGCTTCATATACTTTGACTACTTATCAGTAATCAAAGTATACGAAGTAAATACAGCTCAAAAGGAAATGGTCTAGGGAAAATATTATTGGACTGCTGTTGTGTTAAGTTGTCCATAAACTTGAAACTCAAAACGATGACATTCATGTACATAGATTTCCATGATTCTCAATTAAAAAATAAAATAAAATATAAAAAAAGGCAGCGATAGAAGTTGTAAAAACCCTTAAAATACCGTTTGTGCTTGTAAAACAGAGGTGAAAGATACCAAGGGCACATTCAAAACACAAACAATGTAGAAATTATAGCAAGATATGGTATGGTTGCAAATGGTGCAGAAGTTAACATATATAGGTCACCACACGGCCTCCAACAATGAGCAAAACCCATTACGCACAGCAAGCTATAAAAAGCCCCAGAATAACAAATGTAAGACAATTCATACGAAAAAACTAACGGCCAGATGTATGTACAAAACAATAAACGTTAAACAAATATGAAGTACAGCAACAAATAACATGCTCCTGACTTGGGACAGGTACATACATAATATGGCGGGGATAAACATGTTTGCGGGTGCCAAACTCAACCAAATCCGATAAACACAACTTTAGACCTAGCAACATGAATAAAAAAACTGGGGAAAACATCTTAGGTGCTCCAGGAAGAATAAGCAGATCCTGTTCCACCCGTCATGTTGCCCATTGTAAGGTACACATTCGGGGATGTCACAATCGAAGAAAGAGGACGGGATTATGGTTACGACAATTGAATAATATCTGTAGTTATCTGTGAAACAGATATTCCATGACGATCAACCAACTCGTGATGTCGACAATACATTTTGAGATAAATACTAAAAGTCTTCAAAATTTGCCAAAATCTGTCAAAACGTGGTTTTGGTCTTTCTTCGTGCGTTATACTTTGGCGATCTATTTAGAACGTTATTGCCTCGTTAAACCTCAAAGTACACATATGGAATTGCTTTGCCGTAAATTTCAGTAAGTATTGAGATACTTTTGGATAATGGCCCTGGTGGGAAATAAATTCAGAGGAAATTAGCCTTACCTTTTAAAGCAAAATGCGCTATTTTTCTAACGTTTAATGTGTTTACCAAAAAAATTCTTTTTTCCCATACTTAATGTTACAAATTATGATAGTTTTGGACACCACTTACCATGCAACATACTTGTTGGCATATATTTCATCATTGTTTAGGGATATCATTGTTATAATCTACAGTTGGCCATTGTTAATGTTTGTATTACTATGGTACCAACAAAAATATGATGTGTTTCAAATATACGAACTTCTTTATGAATGTTTTCGCCATCTCATTGGTATTTCTATTTCTAAAACCATAAAAACCATATGTGTTAAGTACGTCTGAACCAGTGACAACTCTACGACAGATTTTATCCATCGGATCACCAGTGATGGTCTATATCATTATTCTAGCTTCAACTGCTCTAACCTCATAAATATAGTATATCTGTCCTGAACATGAAAGATATATATGCATCTTAGTTCATTTTATTTTTCGAACAAAATGTACAGAAGATACAAAAAGGAAGTCTATATGTTTAATCAGCATTAGATTTCTGTTCAGTTTTCATATATTTTTCTTTTATGTATTTCACTATCTGTTGAAATCTTCGATGTTGAATATACACACTTTAAGAAATGTTATCTTCTTTGCGGGATTCTAAGGTATTTAAAAGTCTTAGTGTAGAGAATTATAGAAGTGAAAGATTTAACTTTTTTATATTCAGAGGCATACAAATTAAATAAGTTTGCCCTCAATAACTCTCCGCATAGGTCCGTTTAGATATTTACTTTACTAAGTATGGATCGTTTATATATCAAAAGTACTACTGCATTTAAATCTTTTTTGTCCCAAATTTATGTGTAATTTGGTCATTTTAGGTAAGATATATGAATTTCGACATGTTTTCCTTGAAAACATACGGATGTTGCAAGGGTTTTTATACGAGGCATCGCATTTAACGTCCCTATTCTGGCCGGAAGTGGCTGCGTATTTAAAAAGAAAAACAGACGGCTGATTATGGCATAACTTTTACTGTCGGATAGGAGAGTCCCAGATGATCATGTTTCTATATCCTAAAGTCAACAGTTGGGATTCATTGAGTATCAAAATTAATATTATATTCTCTTGAATACCTTACACAACACTAATATATTGCAAATACTAAAATACCAGTCATCAAATTAAAGAATGAATTTGTGCATCGAATACAAATTTTACTACGTGTCACACGTGCTACATTGGTAAAATGTTTTTTTTATTATTGTGAATTATAAGTTTGGAATTGTATTCTGACATCTTGTTATATTTTTTTTCTTTTTTCCATGTTAACCGTTTTGGCAATTTATGCAAGATATTTGATTTTCTATGAATATATATTCTTAATTGTACTATGACATTTATTTACAATGTGAAACTTTATCTAAAGTAAATTGTGTTAGGACTGTTTCAACGTGCTTTCTCTGCAATGTAATTATCATAATTCAATTAAATGTGATTGTATATTCTGCATTTATCATGCTTTATCCTTAAATGATATTACATTCCTGAAAGACCCCTCTAAATTATCGAAAGTTATCATTCTGCATAAACCATAGTATCATGGGGTAAATTAGAGGAAACAGTGATTTGCATATGCTCATCAATTCATTAATTTTCAAAGATACAATGCAAGATAAACAAACAAAAACTTAGGGAATCGTAATGACAGAACATCACAAGCCATGCAATTTAAAATTAATCCAAATGTCATAATCGGGAATAGATAAGATTACAGATCAGACGACTATTTAGTACAAGAATAGTGGTAGTGTCATCATCTTAAATAAATGGGGAAAGCCATTATCGACATGAAATGAAAGAGTAATAAATGAATAAATCCCTATGTTTCCCCTTATTCGCGAGGTATTAAATTCAGAACTTATTTGAACCCTATTTGATGATTACCTGAACATTAAAAATGGTTAAGGAATGAGCAAAACTGTTTCCCCAAATTCCTGCCTCAATTCCTCTAGACGATCCTACTGATGACGCATGCAATAAGTAAGATCACATCTAGGCGTCTTTGATGTATTTTCTGGCTCCCCTTCATGTCAATTGTCTTGTCATATGGTTTAGATTTATTGTTGAACTTTAATATAAGGGTCTTTTTTGGTTATGTTGTTTTGATTGTGTGCTGTCTCATTTACCATTATCTATAATTTCTTTTGATTTTTATAAATATTTCAAAAAGGTTGATTCAGATGTTTTCAATATTAATATTTGTCTCATGTGAATTTTTTTTTCTCGTAATGAAAGAGTAAATCTCGATTCATCTAGAAAACAGTGATATGATTCAATTTACGTGTAAAGATTAATTTTTTTTTAACAAATAATCGATTTAAACTTTTACATAAAAATAAATATTTAAACTTTTTATTTACATTTGGATCATTAAACATCTGCTTGCAGATTGACATATACTTGGCAAGATACATGTATATATATATATCCTTGATTATAATGGGTTTTCCATTAATACAATCAACGACGATTTACATATCTTGCCATTTTTTTTATTATATTTATAGCTGTACTCATCTTAGATTACTAGAAGTTAATGCGGAAGCACAATTCCCGTTTTCATAATGTCAATTTCCCTTATATCCACACCCATACACATACATAGCCCTCCTATTGTATCGGCACAGCAGGCTTTTGTTGAATTAACTAACCTTTTCGTCTTTATTTCTGCACCCAATATTTCAGGTAGAATGCTGATAGTTTCTTTCCAGTTAACCATGTTTAGTATTAATAACACGAAGCTCCTTTTGTAAGAAAATGCGTAGCATATTAGGGAGCTACCATTTGATTTTTATGGGGGGCTAGGATAAAAATTTGAAAAAAAAATAGGCAGGACAGGAGTTTTGAGTAAAAAAAAAGGCAGGATGAGACACTTGTAAAAAAAAAAGTCAGGATGACAATTTAGGTAAAAAAAAGTCAGGATAAACTAAAAAAAAAAAAGGCAGGACCGAATAGAGTGGAAAATAAAAAGGCAGGATAGAGATTACAACTAAAAAAATGCAGGACAAAATTTTTCATCCTAGCCCCCCCCCCCCCCCCCCCCCTCCATAAAATCAAATGGCAGCTCCCTTAGTTTAAGAAAACGTTTATTTTTCTTGAAACAAGATAGCCTACCGTATATTTTTTTTAATTTTTTTTTAATCTTTATTATTACGGATTCAAGAATGGTGTTCTACTTTATGTTAAGTTTTCCTATGTAGTATAATTCAATTTATATTTCCACTTGGTGTATATTTTATAAGATGTAAAAGAGTCATGCAGTTAAATAAAAATTAGAGATAACATCCCA